GAAAAAATTTGTGGTGTAAGAGCAAAAAAAGTTAAGTAATTATTGAGATTATCTCGTTTGTTTTATGTTATTTTAAATTATCATTTTTCTGGAAATTACGAGAAAACTACTCATTTTTTTTAATGTACATATATTTTGAAGATCTAATACTGAAGAATAGAATTCATTACGAAAAAATGTCTACAATAATTTAGTTGTAGGAGAAATTAATTTCCGGGCGTGTCAACTGCTATGGGCACTAGTCCTCTAAGTGTGGTACATGTTATGTCCCGGAAGGTTGCGGCTACTACCCAGCTAGAGCGGGTCCGGCGCAGACCATGTCTTACTGCGAAGTTTCCTCTAGAGACATCTCTCCCAGCGGGGCACCGTCCCAACCGGGAAAAGCTCTAACCCCCCATTTAATCCCACAAGATGTGAGGTAATCATGTGAGGTAATGCTAGTGTGTGTAAAGGGAGAGGAGAGGTCAAGTGGAAACAGATACTAGAGTTCTGTTTGGATTAATTATTTAGCCAGTGACGAACATCCAAATCCGTACTCTGACCGGAAAATCCTACTGTTCAAATCACACGGCGGTGGATTTTCGACACTAGCTAGATAGCTAAGCCGAGTTTAGGCGCAGTCTGGAGGAGAATTCTGGCGTGTGGTTGCTCTGATTACTAGTTTCATGTGGTTTCTCCGATCAATATCAGGCAAATGTCGGAGCAATACCCTAGCAAGCAAGTCACGAACGGCGCACGATATTTCCTTCCTCTTCCTTGGCCTATCCTCTCCCTTGCTCACACTTACATGCAATACCACACAAGACGGGAGCTTCGAGTTTCGCGGTCGGGGTGGTGCCCCGCTGGGAAAGATTCCTGGAGAGGAAAACCCCCCGACCATTGTAGGTCGGCGCCGGGTCTCATCACCAAGCAGAGGAACACCACCTGGGATAAAAATTCACTACACTAACTATTATTCTCTATAAAATTTACTGCACCCTTGGACCTCCGTCAAAGACTATGGTGATGAGTAGCTTGTTATAAAAAGGGATTCAGAAAATTATCAACATTTGACATTTTCGAAATTCTACAGATTTTACTGAAAAGTGGAATGCACAGTTTATATAAGCGTACTTTGCTCTATTCAAGTAAAAATATTTGGAGGCAGTTTTAAGAAAATTTTGAAAATGTATGAGGGAATGCAAGATATTGGCAAAACGAGATAAGTTTCAAATTCACGGTGCCAGAACATATGCTAGTTCTATCCAGGTATATCCAGTTTGGTGAATATCCTGCATAGGGTTTGGGTGATAGTATTGTACATTTGTTCCCTTCTAAATATCGAAATTGATTTCTTGCGCTATTATGTTACTTAACTTTCTGTATATACTATATAAATGAGAAAGTATAAATTGGCCATTCTTTTGAACAACTTTTGCAATAGTCAAAGAACTATCACGCATTGAAAATAAGTTACGATAAATAACAGACAAAAAATAGAAATTCTTCTGAAGCCAAAATAAAAGTGCTAAAAGAAGGGAAACTTTTTTTAAAGCTTTAATAACTAATCTACACATGCATGTATTTCTTATTGTATCAGTGATCAAGTCACTAGGAAGTGTAAGATTTAGTGCATTGTGGTCCCTGTAACCTAAATCACTCATTATTTCATATCGAGTTGAGGTTTTGTAAATTATTAATAGATCTAATGCTATATTTAGCCGCAAACGACTTCCAATGAAATGACACTGGCCAATATTTACAGAACTTAAAATTAAAAGTTCAATGAAAACAGACTGTGCCATTCAATTACAAGCACACACTCACAATTTTTCAAATTATGGAAATGTGGTATACAGTAGCATTTATACTGATGAAAAGTTGAATTAGTCTAAAAGAATAAGTCTTATTTCCTAAGAGAGTCAAAAGGGTTAGTATTTGCTCATTAATTTTAATATTTTACAACAGGGCATGGACATCCATTTACATGGACAATTCATAGAGCATTTTGCCATTCACTTCCTATTGCCTTCTTGCTCTTCACCTCAATAGAAGATGAAAACCAAAACGATCTCTCTTTTGTTCTAACTGCCTTCTATATTCCACTTCATAAATTACAAAATGAATGTTTTGTAAGATTTTAGAAAATTTCAAAAATAGGAGATGATTTGATGAAAGTTTCCTATGACAAAATTAGCTTAAAATTGATTTTCAGTCAACTAAAATTACTAGAAACAAAATTCAGACTAACTTCATACAGCGAATTGTAGATGAACTAATTCAATTAAAGTGGTTTCATGATTTTAAAAAATTACCTAGAGAACCTTTTGGATCTCAGGAAGTGTTTTGTGTAGCTATAAAAAAAAAAAATCTTTCAATTTAAGTCGCATAATTTGTGTATATACTTAAGACTGAACATAGCATGTTTTAAACGGTTTACTGTTTATTAACTAAGAGCTCTAATAATAAATCACAATAAAAAATCGAGCCAATAATTGCAACACATCAGGGGTTACAATTTTATTAAAAATCAGCAACAGCAAATTTCTAGTTTTCACAGAAGCTAAAGCAACCAAATTCACAAATAAAATGTTTGCACTCTTGATGCTTGAACACATGCTTACGAGATACTGTGAGGATAAATTTACTCGAATAGAATATAAAAAATTAGTAGGCGATAAATGGTAACATAATCTGGTAATGTAAAACGAAATGTTGTGAATGATATGGCAAAAAAGAGTTTTCATTGATTGATAATTATCTAACTTTTAACATTAATTACCATTCCAGAACAACAAATGTATAAATATAAAATTGTAAGAAGGACAAAGTGAAGACTATTTACTGCAATCATCAACACAGTTTACAAAATAATTCATAATCAATGAAAAAACAAAATATAGAAAATTTTTCTAAACAATATCACAATGGCAACAAAATGGCTTAAATTTCAATCACTATAAGAGAGAGAAACCCACTTACTTTAAAGACATAAATTAATCAAGAATTTGAGATTTCCCCCCCCCCTCAATTTTCTTTAAAATTTGAATCATTGCTGAAATGGCATTAAAAAATTAAGACTTATCCATATTCATACTTATCAACAGTAAATAACTAACTGAAGATCTTTTAGCAACCACAGGAAGTCTCCGGGTATTCATAAATTTTATCATCTCTATTTTGGTTAAAGGATGGTTCTTTCTGTTACTGCCCCATGTTCATTGTATATTCAAAAAAGACATATAAAGCAACTTTCGCCAAAACTGAGATGTGAACATTTACAAACAGCAAGTGACTTATTTTATTACTGCCCCACATCTTTCAAGGGGTGCCATTTATACGGCATATGATTAAATGAATGAAATATATTCACACTAAAAAAACTATATTCAAATTCTCATGAACGAAAACTGTTTTAACTTTGTGAATTTTATGATTTTTTTTTTATGTCAGTTTTTTTCCCTACCATAGCATTAGATACAATTTTGAGCATCTTTGTGTACTTATGTGATATTTTTGACCATTTTTCAGTATTTTGTGTAAAAGAGTTCAATCTATTGTCTTTTTCTGTATTATGAGAAATCTAACTGTAGGTCATGTTCTTACATGATTCTGTTAGCTATAATAATAATAATAATAATAATAATAAATAAAAACAATTAATAATTATATGTAATATGACGAGTAGGAAAAATCATGGAAAAATGCAGAAAACAAATTACCTTTGTTGTATGAAGTGCCCAAACTACCCCTGTTGTATGAAGTATCATGGACGATTAAATTTACAAAAGTTTTTCGAGTGCTAATAAGTTTCATTGTGACCACTGTGACAGAATTAACAAGTTGTATATAATCAGGGGTATGTAACAGAAGAGCATGTACAGAACATACGCTTGAACTAGAAAGCAGAACCTGAAGTTATCCATCTGATTTTTATATCCATTGGCAGTAAGATTATAACAATACAATTTAAATGAAATGTTTTCAAAAGTCATTTAGTTGTGAGCACTAGAAATAATATAACCAAGCACTTCTGTTTCAGAGACACTACACAATTAATAAGGGTTTTCGAGCTTGTTAATTCATCCATGTTTACACCAACTGGTGACCATTACTTTTCAGAGATAAAAAACTATATCAATTAATACTGCAAAACTATGGTCTCTAACACAACATACAATTAAGGTGTTTACTGTGCACCAAGATCTTCATATCTTATGAATAATCTTCCTCCAGAAAATTGAATTTTGAAGCTATTTACTTAAGAACAGAACAAATGTATTGTGGCATATCTGCATCACTTTGAATTATCAGAAGACTTAATTCATATACGATTTCCTTTAGCTTTGTAATCAAATCTCGCTGAATGTGAACTGATCATTGTTAAAAAAGTAAACTGATACAGCTCACTAATGAACATTAACCATAACTTCTGTAGATAGAACTCTAAATAACACAAAATTTAATACTTGTCAAAATGTCTTAAATTAAACAAAATTTACTTGGTGTAATAGTAGCAAAAATTACAAGTTGAATGGAAAAGACAATGAGACGTCTTGCTGTACAAAGAGCATTATAAAATTAAGTATTCTGAAGTTAGCACATTTGAATGAAAACAAATGTCAACTTTAATGGCAAGTGCACTATGTTTGTTAATTTCCAAACATTGATGATAATTGAAATAGTAGTATACTTCAAATCTTCTAGTCTACACAAATTACTCCCATTAGGAAAGCATATAAATCAGTAATAAATAAATAAAAAAATATTATAATTTCAATATAAAATACACATACTCTATTCAGCATAAGCTACAGAATCATTTTGGTCACACATTACACTATCCTTCAACTAACAAACATATTCACACAAATCTGGAACATAAGGAATTATGTTAATTCCTCTCACTAAAACAGGCACTCCGCACTTCAAGTAAACATACCTCCAGACAACACTCATTCCGCACACACGATCAAAATACGAAATCCATTATTCCAAGTAAGGTCATAGTTTAAACGTACCTTAAAGTAAAACTGGTTTACTATGGTAATAATCCTCTGTAAGGTACTAGGATACCTCACCGCATTTGGAAATAAAAATCTAGCGAGTTCTTGTAAATCACATCACTCTCCTCCAGCAGAACACACTTATATTCACTGCGAACCAACATCACAGTTTCACTTTGTCACTCTGCAGCGACACATTCTTATCTAGGATCTTCACTGTCATTAGCTGCCAAATATGCCATTTGGAAGGCTGAGGTACGGTGGGTGAAAATATACGAGGCGTAAACTATGCACCTCCCGCCAGCACGTCGACACCTACACCAAAACTGCACCAAACTTCAATCACTTCAGTAGTACATCAAAGACTCTCTACACACTTAGCAATACATTATCTTTCTCTCTCCTGATTGCTTTCTTTATGTTGCAATATCTATGGAATACATTCCGCTTTCCATTTTCTGCTTTCGGAACACAAAATACTGCACTTTGATTGGTTCAACACATTTCAATGCCTTTCTATAGAATGTCCAGAATGACGTCTCAGCTTTGAGCGCGAAAGTCTTAGTAGCATATTCGTGAGTATGGCAACCGTTTCCAACTCATTAGTGAATTTTACATTCTCGGTATCTACTTCTTAGAATGAGAATTATGTAATGCTGCAGAACAAAGTACCGATTTTCCATAGAACATACGTTTTGCGTGTATCTTGCATCATAAAAGTCGCGTTTTCGTACTCCTATGTGCAGTTAATTACTTTATGGAACACATAAATGTCAGAATTCACGTTTTGTGGACACTAGAGAAAAGGTTGCCTTTCTACGAATATCGGTCAATGAACACCACTAGCACCTAAACAGTATACAGGAATTTCACCCAAATATATATTTCCCGATCAATCTGACTGATGTCCCGGCTCCTTGAATTTGAAACGCAGTTTTTAATTTTCGGGGGTTCTTTCACCACAATGACAATTTCGAAATTTTCTGAAAACTTGCTCCAATTTTTATTTTCTTGCTACAGCTTACGCACTACAGAGAAAGTTTTGTAATTCTGCGTGAAAAAACAGTGAATTTTCGGCAGAAAAACTCTTATTGCCGGGCCCTGGTAACAAAAAAGTGAATAAATCCAGTTGTTAAATTTAGGAAATAAATCCTCTTATACGTGATATAACCAGAATCCATGTTTTGTACGTCCTTGATACCGAAAAATTGAATGACGGCAAAACGCCTGTCATTTCCGTCCGTCTGTGGACAACGCTAATGGCTAAACCGTTCAGCCGATTTTCTCCAAAATTGATATTTCGTTAACGATCGCGTAGATGACGCGGTCCTTGAATTTCAAACCGATATTTCAATTTTTGGGGGTGTACTTTACATGAGACATTTTCCTAATTTTCAAAAAAAGCGCCCCTATTGTTTTTTATTAAATTTTGTTGTTGGATAAGACGTTTAAGATAATGGTGCAGGTCTCATTTGCATTGAAAACTCTGATTTTTCAAAAATTGCAAATATTCAAAATATTTTCGGTGTCTTCCTACAACTATAATTATGAAGATAGAGATTTTCCCTTCATGAAATTTGTTCCTTAAAGAGATTTTGAAATAAGGTCACGTACAATTTTTCGAAAATTTGAGTACATTTCGCGAAATTTTGCGTAAAATATGGGTGAGAAAGTACGTGCTGTGTTCGTGCTGCATCTTCAGCCCCCGGACATTTTCAAAATTTTCTAAAAAATGGGTCAAAACGTTTTCTTCAAATTTCTTGTAAATATAGTGTAAAATACACTTATAAAGGTAAAATACGTCCGATTTTCAGGGTCTAAATTTTCAAAATTTTGTTTGTTTTATAGGCGCTTTTCTACAACTACAAAATTGAAGATAGAGAATTTTCTTTCAAATAAAATTTGTTCTCCACTACGAGTTCATTCATTAAGATCATGTACATTTTATGCAAATTTCAGTAGTTTTCGCGCAATATTGCAAGCAATATATGCAATTTTAAAAAATTGCTATAACAAGATTTTCTCAAAAACAGCTTCAAATGTTTTCTTTAAAAGCTTGGTAGGGATAGTACTATAAATGCCCTCTATAAGATGATATGAATTTCCGTTTCTTCTATTTTCTTTTTTCAAAAGTTATAAAAATGTAATTTGTTGACTTGCCTCTTATGTCATTATTATTTATATTAGCGGCAATTTGTTCACATTATTATATTTATGAGTACATGTGCTGTAAATTACCTCATATTAATTTGCAAGAAAACTCAGTTTTCTGTAAAAATAATCTCAAAATTTCACATTTCTAGAAACGCTCAAACGCCATTTTCTCAGATGTGGCTTTAAATGTTTTCTTCAATATTTTCCAATGGATAGTTCTAATTTCACTGTTCTGTGAAAACGCGATTAAAATTTTGGATGTACAGTAGCGCTTAAACGCCATTTTCATTAAAACGGCTCCTAATTTTTCAAAGAAAATTGCCATTTAGGATGCCATACGAGATTGCCATACGAGATTTTACTGTTTTTCATTATTCTTCAAATAATATTTTCGTTATACTATTAGGAAACTGAAAAATTGAGAAAATGTGAAATAATTATTTGGGCGATGATAGATGACAGCTGGCGAGAGTAAGTGGCAAGTCCAAATAACTAGCTGAGACCAATGGAAAGAGAAAACTAATAGGGAAAGTGCCATTCTGTTGCACCACTAGTTACCTCTTGTCATGGGCGGATTCAGAGACGAATTTTGGGGGAAATTTGTGTATGTATTGTAACCCCTTACGCGTGTCTGTCTGTCTTATGGAACTGGAATGGGAATTTCAATAATAATGGTCAAACTCATTTGCGTTAACAAATATTTACTTAAAAAAATTGATGATGATGAATTACAATTATTTTACAATTTTTTAATAAAAATATAAAACGACCCTTTCTTTTATTATGACATGGTCATCTATTTAAAATTAATACAATAGAAAAAACAATAAATCGTCATGATTACTTCTGTTCTGAAAGGCCACGCCTTTCCCACCCCCTCGCTGTCGCCTCAGTAAGTTGCTTCGGACCGCATTATGCGGAAGGCCAAGCGATATTTACCCTCGTTGTGTTGGCGGGCCCTCATGCACGGCCGGTGTGCTAGGCCGCCCGTGTCCTTGTTCGTGCCCGACCCTTCCAGCAGAGGCGGTAACACAGGGGTCCCAGCGTAGGCCGCTTTGATGTTCGCCGCGCTTCCCGCAGGGCCCACTACCCAGTTTCAGCGTCACCAAGCCTTCAGGCAGCCACGGTGATCATCGGCGATGATGGAAGTCAAAACAACTTCCCTCCGCAAATAATGCTCGAATGCCACTTGATTAACTGCAAGCGGAAGGTGGAATATCGGTGACCGAACTATCGAATCGAGAATGAGGTCAATTGATTTTCTCGATGGCGAGTCAAAGACATCGAGTGACTTCTCGTGTTCCGTCTCAAGCCACCCCTTTGAATCGACCACTTCCCGGCCGGTCTCAAGCCATCCAGTCGAATTGACCCACTCCGCGGGCCGTCTCAAGCCATCAAGTGCTTTACGGAGCGCGGCCTAGTAACATGGAAACCTCGGGTACCCCCTCCCTCCAAAGAACGTGTATCCTCCCGATTACGCGGGGGTTGAATTTCCCGCGAGCAGAGGTGGAGGCGTGTGTCTGCCAATCACACCGGGAATCTTCCTGAACGGCCAGGAATGTCCGTTGTCTGTTTGTAAAAAAAACTATGCGACCTGTTTTCTTCGCACGCTGCCCGCCCGCTGACCGTTTGGTTGTAAATTCTTCCCCTCCGAGGAGGCGCACTCAGCGTTGGGGTTCATTTTTATGAGCGGTCGCTTGAATAGCGCGCACTCACTTACACATCGCGCGGGGGTGTCCTGCCATAAACGTTTATAGAACCCTCGCGCTCAATAGACGAACGGGCGCGCAAAGCCTACTACCTCCCCCCTTCCTCGCAGCTGGCGTCGCGGGCGTCTGCTATTTTTTTCTTTTTTTTCATGGACATTTTCCAACGCAGGAGCTTGTACCGTTACAGTATATGTGTATGTATGTATTTATGTATGTATGTATGTATGTATGTATATTGAGGCGAGTTCTGATATAGGCCCCCAAAACCAAAATTCGTGACGCGCGGCGGCGACGTCACAGTCTGACGTAACCGCGGTCAAGCGAGGCAAAATAGCAACTGACCAATTACAAATTTTCGATACCAAGATAAGTTGCCATTGGTCAAGAAGGCCAAAAATGAGGGAAACAACGGGAGTCTCATTGACTGCTTCCGTATTTTTTGAAGGAGCAAATCGAATATTCAAACGTTTTGTTGGAGTGTAATCAGGCGCACCACGAACTGTTTTTTATGCCTCATTCGATACTGCGACGAAACTCCAGCCCGAGCGGTTCCAAAACACCGCGCTCTGAAGAAAAGGGCGAGGTTAAATGAAACGAGGTACGAACATCTGAAAGAGAACGAGCATCTGAACATGGCGAATGAAAAGCGGAGTCCAGCCGCCCGACCTTGCGCCCGGGGTATGAAGACAAGTTTCAACACCGAGGTCCCGTCCAGTCTTCAGCCGACCGACGAGTCGGATCGACACCGCCACCAAGCTCTGCGCATCGAGCAAGCGCGCTTCCAATCGCCGACAAGATTTTGGAGGAAAGGGTCGGCTGCCAACGTGGGATTTTCGGGGTGGCTAAGCTCTCATCATTCACTCTCTTCCGTTCCCGATCGCCGATCCTGCAACAACCTCGCCGAGACTGTAGGTAGGGGTTATTGGACGTTAGAGAGACGCCCAGATAGCTGTCCGTGAACTTTTATGAGAAATTTCTGGAGGAAAGTTTTCTTCAAATAAGACACGAGGAGTTAATTTGGAATCCATCATTTCATTGTGAATCTGGGGACAGTAAAGGAGAGAAATAGTCCATGCTGTGACGAAGTAAATTTGAATCGGAGGCGAAATTTGGGACAGTGCGTGCGAGTGCCACACGTACGCTCGAAATACGCACGGTTTCTTCATTGCGGTGCAAGGAACATTCGCATGCGGGCGTAAGCGAAACGCCGAGGACGAAAGACCACGGAGGAGGGCAGCGACAAGTCGGCGGCGACCAGGGGCCTACGATCGGCATCGCGGAGGCAGGTGGCAGCGTGCACGGGCGAGGTTTTGTCGACGCTGATGCGCGTCAAGGTCGAGCTTTGGGAGCAGTGGTAGGCGCGGCGTCGCGAGGTAACGGCGCCAAAGCGCTGAAAACTATATCAACGTCCCGCGACCACGGAGGTCTTGTTAAAACGGAAATTCGCGAGGTAAAGCCGTATTCAGAACGCGTCCAGTTATCATTCAGGGATTCTTGCCATCTTTAAAGCATTTGTACCCACATAATTGTAAATAAGTCAATATTAATTTGTTGCTCGCGGCAACAGAGAAATTGTGATGGATAGTGTTACTCATCTGCGCACATTTTTGTATTAAAGTTATTGTGGACTGTGCGCTGTGAAAATAAAGAAAACTCGTTTTTACAATGACACATTAAATTAAATTGATTGTATGGATTGTAACGGATGTATGATAAGTATTTTTAAAATATATTTTAAAGGGTTTTATAGATTAACCTAAATGACTTGACTCTCACAGCAGACACTTGCTTGGA